CAAATCAAGACAAATTTGATTTGATCAAATTCAAATTGGCCTAATATTTGATTTGATTTGAGTTTGAGGAACCCTACCCTTTTATTAACATAAGCTAGTACATTTGTCTATAAATTAATGCCTATTTTTATTAGTTCTGTATATAATAATTTGACATGAAGCAGTATATAATATAAATGACTCGGCATTATGATAATTCAACATGAGTTAACTATTTGGCGACATAATAATTACTAACAAACAAATAATTAAAAATGTTTACTAAATTTGGCATGACAATTATCATTATAGATCGCATATTTTCTATATTTGGGACTACTTATATAGGGATACGTACTTTAATAATTTGACTTGTTATACAAGTTATATTTGAGCTGGGTCTACAAATTTAGAATAGCCAATATGTTGTATTATATATTGTTCAAACACCTACATATGTATATGATTTTTTTTCACTGATATCTAAGTTTGGGTTGGCTTCTGTATACATATTATATGCGTTATTTTAACTCAACCATATATATATGTATTTTGGGTGCATTGCAAGCATATAATTTTAATTTTTCTAGCAATTGGGTTGTACAACACCCACTATTTGAGATCACCTGGTCCAAGATAAACAAATCCAAGATATGCAAATCTGAGGCATATGAATTTGGTTAATTATATCATAGATTTATATTAGTTAAAGTATAGTTGAAGTGTGGTTAAAATACAGTTGGTAAAATAATTAATTATACGATATATCATAATATAATATGAGTAAAGTGCAGTTAAAGTGTAGTTAAAGTACTGTTGAAGTGCAGTTATAATAGTTAGAAATATACTTATGTGTTATAAACACTAGCTCTGCTATAAAACAAAGCAAAAAATCTCTATCAAACCCAAATATCGAAAAATAGTTGAATGGACTAATTCTCAAATCTTTGTACTTATTGATGAGCGTAAAAATAAAAATGGTAAATATCATAATTTTGAAAGGAATCGAATTAGATTTTGGAATAGCATTGCAACCAGAATTAATCAAGAGTATAATATAAGCTTTAATGGGTATCAATGCAAAGAAAAATTTATGAATCTTGTTTGGGAATACAATGTAAGTATAGTATAATAAGAAATTTATCAGGATTAGATTTTTTTGTTTACATCTAATAATTCATATTAATTAGTTAATATGCGATTATGTGGCAGGAAATTAAAGAACACGAAGAAGCCGAACAGGTGCACAATATTTTAGTGAATTCTGTATATATTTTTAAGAGAGGCCTAAAGTGAATTTGATAGAATCTGCAATATTAATTCCTCAAACCGTAGGTGAAATAGAGATGTGGGAAATACAATGCCAACACTATCTATTGAGGAAGTTGAGCATGCATTGAGTATGAGATTCTCTGTTAGGCAACTAAACCAGTTTCTATCTATTATTAGTAGAAGGAGTCAAAGACATTTACTATATCCTGCTTTATCCTATAATAACACTAATATAAACAACTCTGGTATGAGAAATTTTGAGCAAAATATTAGCATCCCAATACCTCCAATTAAAACATTATCTCTCTAACCACCACTTTACTCACAGGCTACAGATGAAGCACAAAATAATAATTAGAGCCAAGACAGTTCTAACTATGAAGTAGCTGTCTCCAACAGTAATCTAATACCTGATTTGCTAAATTTATCCTTATCACGAAATGAAAGTGATGCCATTATGCATAAGAAAGGTAGTCAACCACTCTTCTATATGGAATCGATAAATGAAAAGGAAAGATAAAGATCCTTGATCACCTTTCTTTATTAATAAAAATAGTACAGTTATGACTTTTCAAGTCACTCTATAGGCCTGCTATATACATGTGGATATATCGCTAATTTTAATATTTTACCCAAAAAATAAAAAATAATGTCTCAAAAAAATATCTGTTATTTCTAGTAATAAGCATAACACAGATATTCGATCAACATATCATATATCATACCAAAGAAGAAAATTGAAGGTTATAGAACTTCTGCATGTATAGTGGCTTAGCAATTTTATATATGTTTATTAAGAAAAAGCCAACAGCACTTCAGATGCGAAGCATCCTCCTTTCAGAAAACAGTGGCTTAACAGTAGTTTATGACCTTTTAATATATGTCATAGTGAGAATAATTTAAAAATCTTTTTATTGCGTTACAATATTATAAGTTGTATAAAATTAGAAATTGGTTTGTGTCACTCTTCTGCAAGATTAATTCCCACAATTAATTTTTATTAATAATAAATATTATAAATAATGTGAATAATATCTAGACCTATACGATTCTGCAATAAGAATAGGGCTTAAAAAGGCTATAAGGGTAATAAGTATAATATTTCTTATCAGTAGTTTTATCCAAATTTATATATTATAGGGGACTTGGAATTTTCAGATTGTCAAGATCATTGACTTTTTTCACTTCGCAGAAATAATCATTAAATCTAAGGGGAGTTAATTTTATCAGAAAAATAACAAAATAGACCTAGTATTTGGAATATATGGCTGAGCAGAGTTGCTTTATTCTGCTTTATTCTGTTATTTACTTACTAATTGTGTACTTTTTTTTTCTGGTAGGTTCTAAGATCTAATGAATAAACAGTATAAAATAAGCAAGTTTCGCCCATAAGATAAGTTAGCAATAATGTTATTTTTTGTTTATATATTTTTTACTTGATTTACTTGCCAAATTTTTTAAGTAATTTGCTATATATTAGCTGATATAATTTTATTTAATGAAGACTATGAAGATGATTTTTTACTTACTATGTTTTTTGTATTTAGGAATGAAAAGTGAGTACTAATGATAACACCACCTCCAAGACTAACGAACCCAACCCTAAGACTAATGAATATATTTATCTTAATTGTCTCTTTACGCTCTGCTTACCGTATCATTTTTTTAAAATGAAAGTTTCTAATAGAAGTGATATTGAATTATTAGAAACTCAAGTTCAAGTCCATTTGTCTCTATTATCATCTGATGCAACTAGCACACCTCACCAGATTCTTATATTTCACCCCCAAAAAAAATATGTGAATATGCATTCTCATACTAATCTTTATACTCTTTTCAGTAATAATCCTGATCAAAATATTATTCATGTACTTGTAAAACAATTACCAGGATCAGAAACACAAATTATTTAGCTTTTTTTATTTGTATTCACACTTATAATAGCGATATACATTTTTATATGTATATTATCATTCCGGCAAAAAAATATTAAATAAAAAAAGGGACCGCTAGGCTCCTAATCATCTTTTATTTTTACATGATCATGTCAATAAGTATTGGTTACTATTTATACTGTTATTTTGATATTTAGATGCTAAAGCATTCTCTTTTCAAGAGATGAATATCTAATTCATATTACACTGAAATAAAAATTTTGTCACAGTAGTGCAATAAGACAACTATATTTTATTGGTTAAGGTATGACATCAATATCATAATCAATTGTATAAATTATATGGCCTGCGATAAATTTAAAATCATTGTATATCTGAAAATTAGAAATGGATTATGTATATATCCTAGGCAGTTACTGGTGAGATAATAGGACTCATTATTGATGAGCTTTTTCTTTCGTATCTTCTGTTACGATAATAATAGCCTCTATCACATCTACCATATTCTTCATATCTATCATACCTATTATATCTGTTATTATCTGATTTATCTAGCCTCTCTTTTTTAAAATCATTGTCATGGCTACAATCACTATCATCGACTATCTGACTTCATTAGTCTTTTTCTCTGACTGAGGTGTGGGATTATCAAAACACGCCTCATCATCATAATATATCTCATTATAGTTATTATGATTCTCTACCTTAGCTAGAGCGATTTGAGGTATGAATGATGAATTATCTAAAGAATTAGAGCTATATGTAATAGGAATAGGTGCGATTAATTTGCTTACCTTAGCTGAATTTTGGCAGGAACTCAGCTGAAATTTTAGGAGTTGGTGACTTGTCTTCTTGCTTGAGGAAACTATTTATAATTTCTTTAATTTTGTCATTAGTTAACTCTGAAAAAGAATTCATATTATAAGTTGTGATATATTTAATTTTATCTATTCCTAAATTTTCAAATAATTTGTATATTTTTACGGCTTTCTGAGTTTTTCCTTGCAAATATTTATATATGATTTCTGGGAGCTGTAAACCTGTTCCTTCAGATCTCTTTTTACAGAGAATAGAAAGATCCTCTAATATTTTATTATAAATAATTTCTTTTGCTTTTTTCTTACCAATTTTGTTACCTTTGGTAACTTTGTTAACTTGAGTTATAAATTTTTTTCATAGTAGCACCAGCACAATATTTCTTCCTGATTCACATGAATTGTACCATATTCAGCATTAGTTGCTTTATAAAATAATTGAGCTAAAGTAAGCAGTGGTACTGTAGAAAAAATTTGGCTTTGTTGTAATAATATATCATTAGAAGAACTAAGAATACATTTTTGAGACTGTGCATCATTTTGAATACTATCAGATATCATTTGAGAAATATTTTTGCACCTTTTTCCCTATGACTATTTTTTAGCAAGGGCACCCCAGCTAAAATTTTAGATTTTCCGAGTTTAGTGTTTCTAAATATCGAAGTTGAAAGAACTGATACCTCAGGTATCACCTCTCCTAGTGAAGTATTATCCGAAGATAAGTTTTGTCAGAGTATCTTTTCTCTAAGTCTCTCTTTACAAACTTTTTCTTTATATTTTGAATTTAGAAAATTGTCAATTTCTATATCTTCTGATAATTTAGACTCTATGAGAATAGGAGATTTGATATGTTGGTTTTCCGATTCCTGGCATATATCAAAGTTAAATACATCATCAGAATTTGAAGTATTATTAGATATATTAGATACCGGAGTATTGTTAGAATTTTTTATTTTGGTAGAGATGGTATTAACTGAAGATTGATTAATTTCCTTAGCATCGTTATCTGATTTAACAATAAAGTTATTCTTTTAATCAGTTTGCAATTGCATCTGTTCTAATTTTGAAATTCTGGATCTAAGCTTATTGATTCCAGCATCTCTTAACTTCCTGTTATTTTTATTCTCTTTTGCAGATTGTTTCAATTCTATGATTCTAGCCAAAAGCCCTATTTTCTTAGTCAAGAAATTAACATTTTTATTTCTAAGCGAAGCATTTTCAGCTTCAATCTTAGCATATTTCTTTTTAATTTTAGCAATCTTGGCTACAAGTCTGTAATTCAATTCTCTTAATGAATTATCTTTAGATTGTATATTTGCCATTTTTTTATATAAAATATGGATATATTCAATTCTTTTATCATGGAGATATATATTTGTATGATGAAATTTTGAGATATATGCTATGTAAACAAAAATAAATAAATAAAATCACATGACTGTATGAAAAAATTTCATGCTCTATCAAAAAATTATCAATCATATGCAAGATAATATATATAGATAACAATACAATAAGATAAATTCACGAAATATACAGAATAAAAGTAAAAATGAACAAATTCTATTGCAGGTACTATATACTACGTTGCTAAAAACTTATTTCTATGATGTTTTTGGCTAGAAGAGATAACTTTTTTTTTTGTAATATGAATACGTTTCTTTTAGGGTTTTTTTAGATCAAGATTGTACCAGTCTAAACCCGTAGATTCTGAATTGGAACTGGATAAATTACTCTCTATAGATAATTTCTTAAACATATCTATAAACTTTTCTAAATTTAGATCAGATTTATCAATTTCTGTTTCAGAATGAAATAAGTTATTTTTACTAGAGCTAGCTTTATTACTATTTTCTTCAATTAATGAAATACTTATATAATTGATTATAATTTTAGCATAGCGGATACAGGTTTTGAAAGAATATCCAAAGCTTATTTTTGCTTCATGCATCTATAACCAATCTCATACTAGCACCAAATCAAATGATGGATTTTTGCAAATTTGAAAATTTATTACTTTGGTACCATCTAAGCTTCGCTATTTTCTTTTATACCAAAATTGCAAATCTAAGCATTTTATTTCTTTGCCTATCAAATCATTACCAGATATACCTTCTAATCTATAATCTTTTTCAAGCTTATTATACAAGTGCTTGCTAATAGTATTGAATTTAGATGTTGTATCAATTAATGCTTTTACTGAGATTTTTCCTTCTACAATTGTTTTTATGAAATCCATATCAAATATTGCTAGAAGCAACTACACAGTAGCTATTTAATGATATATATTATAACTGAAAAAATAACTAAATTTAGATAATTAATTTTGGACAGATATATTATAAGTTAATAATTTCTGATATATAAATTCCTTATATATTATTTATTTCCTCTTCACCAATTACTGAAGATAGTGAAACCCAAGATTCAGCAAGATATTATAAACATGATAGCAAACCCTAATATTTTTCAAAAAAATTATACACTATGCAAGGCTAAAAGAAAAAAAATATTAAGGGGCAAAGCCCCATTGCTTCACAATAATGATACCATATCTGAGTTCTTATCCTCATCTTTACCTGGGTCTAGTTTTGAATGATTTAATGATGAAGATTTTGCTATAAATATAGTGAAAGCAAAGAAGCGTGATTAGTTTTCATTGTTAAAAATTTCTCTGTATAAATTGATATTATCCTTGACCTTACTATTTTCTTGTTTAGGTGCTAGAATATTTGGTTTGTCATTCATTATACTATAATGTTCAACTAATAAAGCATGACCTATTTTATATCTACATGCCAATTGCCGTAAATATTAACAGCAAAAATTATTTCTATCTCTATGTACTCTGGAAGTATAATCGGCACCTATTTTTCTTAACATAAATGAGATAATTTTATGTGACTTAAGAATTGATTAAGAGGTGCAACATTAGTATTTCCATCCTTTTTTTTTAACAATAAAGAAAATTTATTCGATATTGATCTCTGAATCCAGATAAGTAATTCTCTTGCTCGTATTAGATTTTTTTCTATTGAAAGAAATGGCTAGGATTCTTCTATCTCATCTTTATTTTTTGCATAGAGTAGTAGAGACCTTCATTTTAGTCTCGAAGTTGTATTTATATTTCAAGAAAGCAACTTCATTCATGCTCTCATGCTCTTTTTTCTAGTAGTTTTGGTTATCCCGCAACTCAAAGGTAATTTTAGTTTGTCATTGTTTCAATTTTTCTTTGATATTTGGAAATTTTGTTGTAAAAGAAGGATAAGAGTACTTATATCAGATTCATTTTTAATGAAATATTCTGAAGATAAAGAAATTAAAGATTCAGGTAACTCTTTTTTAGCTTCAGTAATGCTTGAAAATTGTTCAGAATTATTTAATTGATTTTGAATTAATACCAAAGAAGGTAATTGTAGTGATTTTGTTATGGATTTCTCAACCATATTATTACAAGAACTATCTTCACAAACCTTATTACTAGATTTTGAAATAGTAATATTAGTGGTAATAGGTATTGAATCAAAAAGTTCCTGAGTTTCATCAATCAATTCTGGCTTATATGGTAGAATAATGGAATTGTAGGATAATAATTAGGACTATTCAACTTTATAGTTTTTATTCTTTCTTGAGTCTCAAAACTAGCTCTATTATCTGCTATATGATAAATCTAATATGATTTTTTACGTACTTGATACCCCCTTGAACCTACACGGGTTTCTCTACTCTTGACAGTATAACAACACTAATTACTTAGTATTGTATTAATAAATTTTATTGTGCCATTGAGATCTGGTATTCCTTTAGCTCTGGTCTTAAAACCAAAAAGCAATAATGCATCTTCTCAAATTTTAATAATTTTTTCCTGTGATTGTTTGAAAGCTTTTGCCATATCATCACTAGAAAGAATATTTGTATCATCTATATTACTGAATCCTACTGATTGTAAAAGATTGTGCACTGCTCTTCATTGTTTTGCTGAATAAAATTTATGTAAATCAACTAATAATGGATTCACAGATTTGCGTGAATCATCCTATTGAATTTCTTCTTTGAATTTTAGATTTTCTATCGAATTTATTGCATTAGAACCTTGTCTTCTAAAATATGCCAGCCTTTTAAAATATTGTAATGGTTCAGGATTATTCTATCTTTCTACAAATTTTTTTCACAAAGTTTGATTCAATCATCATTATTCATATTCCAGTTTCAAATATTATCCTTACCTCCAATATCGTCTAAAGCATATATTCTCCATAAATAATGTTGTAGTAGGTTATGTTATCAGCAAAAGAACATTCAGGATTTAGCTTAAGCATTTCAGCTTCATTAGGATTGATATCTGGAGCATTAACTATTAATTCTGCATCAGAACTTTTGATCCTTTTTTCAGTATTCTTAATAGTATTAAATACTTCTGTATGAGAATCTTTGGCTAATTTGGTATCTTTTACTGTGATTAATTCTAGTGATGCTCTAGTACTAGCAATCAAACTGCAAAGAATTTTTAGAAAATATTTGGCAGATAAGCATTTCTGATATTCAACCTCAATATAAGTTTCTACTGCTAGAGATGAATCAAGTATATAACAGTTAGCAATTTTGTTCTATTCACAGCACCTCTTTATTGCAATTGGTAATTCTCCAGGTCTTAAGGCCGAAAGTTCCTCACGAATAAGGTACAATTTGGTTCTTTAAAAATCTTGAAATGTGTTTTACTATTGTAAAGAGAAACAATACGATATGGGCAATTGCAAGTTCGATAAAGCATCTGAGTAAATGCTTCAGCGTGTACTCCTGTATTAATATTACTAATTGTTATAACTGCATCAAAATAGTTAGAAATTTTGAATGAGATGCCTGAATCCACAGTACTTGTATAGATTACACAATCAAGGCCACTCTAGGTAGCATTAATATCGGCAAAGTCATCCTGGCATTGTTTTCTATCCATTTGACTAAAATAAACTCGTGATAAAATATATGAACCATCTAGTTTTTGCAACTTAGATGCTTGATTAGCTATTGTTTGAGCCTTTTTGCAGGAGGTTATTGAAAAGACAATATGCTTACCTTCTTTAAGCATCTCAAGACCTTTATATATAGCTTCTGAACCTTTATTTGAATTATAAAGGATTTTTATGGTCTTACTTTTACATAGCTGATACTTATTATCAAAAACTTGGATGTTTTTACCCCGGTATTGTTTTAAGAAGGCTAAAGTCAACTCATTTGCAAAAGTATCTATGGCAACCACATAAACAGCTGACTTTAACAAATTCCGTATGGCATTTTCAGATTCTCGTGCATGGATTCTACTTGCTATATGATGCATAATACTATTTGTTTTATTTAAAATAACTACATGAGAATAACTCCATGGAAATTAAGATGATATGTACTTTCGATCTGAACAATAATAACATCCTAGTCACGTATAGCTAAATTACCTTCATTTTCCTGATAATGGCACACATGAAGCCCAGATTTCTATAATACTTCGATTTTACTTTTAGTTTTATTACTAAGAGTTTTATGATATGAAATCTAGTTAAAACAAGGTAGATTTGCTTCACTTTTAGCTAAAGAATTAAGAATCTCTCTTAAGGTTTTTGTTTTTTTGCTGGCGACGAGTAAGTAAATTAGGATTGTAGTAGGTTCCTTACTTATGAAATCTTGATAAGCTTCTGGGCATTCTCCATTTCTTAACATTAATATTATTTCTAGATAATTGTATGAGTGGGCATGAATATTTTACAGCCTTGTACAATCTTTCAATTAATATCTACTTCTTGAGTTTCACTTCTGATTCGACTTTATCTGATATATTATCGAAGCTAAGGCCCTTATGTTCTGGCTTATATTGTTTTTGATGATAACACTTAAGTATGAAATGTCTATTTTGATGAATAAATCTATAGAGTTGGTCTTTTTTATGTTTAACGGCACATATAGGATATTCTTTAATAGATTGTGCTTGAAAGTTTATAAATCTCTTCTTGATTCTTCCAATCTAGAGCCACCTATATTTTGCAATAACTAAATTAGCTCTTTTAACCAAAGTATTATTATCCTCAATAGGTTTAAATTCCTCTTTTGCCATCTTTTCTTCTAAAAAGGTTTGAGGCCAGATATCAGAACAATCAGATTTAGATTGAACTAAATAATCCTCTAGCTCTCAATACTCTTTCTTAACTGAAGAAACTGCAGGTTATTTAACTCTGTCTTTCTTTGCTAATCCAAGAAGCCAGAAACTAAAATGAGATTTATAGAGACCTATATCAATAAACTCTGAATATGGCTTTCCAACCCTATTAGCAACTTTTTTCACAAATCCTCTAAGGTCTCTGTAGTTAACAAAACATGCATAATTATATATAATATGCCAACTGTACTTACTACATTAGACAAACTAGCTAAGACAAAAGCATTTAGAGTTATAAGATGTTTTAAATCTAAGTATACAATATCAGCACAGACAATTAAGATTCTAGATAATAAATCTTTACATGAAATTTTACTTCCATCTAAGGAAGGAAGTTCAGGATTCATGGGATCGAGCTTTTGTCTCGCATTAATATCCAGAACCAGACGAAGAGGCAGATTTCTATCAATGCACTTGTGAATATTGGGTAATCCATAAACTTTGGATGGGCGATCAACTACTATAAAACTCTGCCCTACTACCCAAATTATATATTCATCAGAAATTTCTTCAGGTCGATACGCATCTAAAAGTGCAGTATTATTTTTATCAGTATAGCCATGACTTTTTAGGGTCACCCCTTCAGGCCTGGATGCAAGCCAGTATTTATAAAATATATGTTCTCTATGGCCAGGTTTATAATCAAGATCTGTTAAACCTATAAAAAGCTATTTTGCTTTATTATATTCAGCTAACTTTTGATTTAAGCACTGTTGCTACAATGATTTACAAAGATGTTTTTTTACTTCACTAGACAAACTCATTTTATTGATTTGAATATATGTGTTATTTGTATATGTAATGTATAGTTATAAACTAAAAGTATTATACTTAACCCAAAAAACTTTAAAATGAAATTAATTATTCTATACAATTATTATTATAATAAATATGGGACTCTATTATTGTTCTTATATTCTTAGAACTGGCAAAGTTTGCAATCGAGATTGCTATTGTCCAGAAGGGTGTAAACTTCATTGGAATTCACCAACTTGGATTCCTTGCAAAGAATGTAGTAAATTAATATATTCTACATATTGTATACTCGAATTATATGAGTAAATATCAAAAAAGAGAATATTATCATTAAAAAAAACAGGCTGAATAATATACAAAAATTGTTATACTTGAGAATTATATACCTGACTTACCTGATTCTATACATAAAGTATAATCATATAGCTCAATATCTAGTAACCTTATAGGTATACATAAACTCTTTTTTTCTAGATATAGGAGGAAAGAAGTGTAATTAATTTTAATTTGAAAAAAGAATCTTTATAGTATATATTAGATGAAAGTAGTCTATATAAAACATCTCAACCAACTTATACTAACCATGACAAAAATCACTACATCATTTGGGACCCCGCACAGCAAAACATTGCATTGGGACAATCATGTGATTTTGAAAAAATCACAATTGAAAATCATCACGTGATTAATTTTAATTATAATAATAACAAACCAAATTCTAAATTTTACATACATTTTATTAATATATTTTACAAATTAATAATATTTTTAGAAAGATACAATATAT